TAACTAGTTCTGGAGAGTGCGAGGATGTCACAGCAAGCTACAGAGAAGAGGTGTGGAGTAGTTTGCCAGGGCTGCCACTGAGTGGTTTAAACAACAAAATTTTATTGTTGCTGCTCTGGAAGTTGAGAAACCTGAGATCAAGGTATCAGCATGACAAATTCCTTCTGAGGGCTATGTCCCAGCTTCCCTCAGTCATCTCAGACGGCAACGGGAACTGAATGGAAACTGCCCTCCAAACCCTGGCCCTAGAAGGATGCAAGCAGGACCCTGCAGAACTACACTTGCTGCCAAACCACAGCGTGTGTGTGTGTGTGTGTGTGTGTGTGTGTGTGTGTGTGTGTGTGTGTGTGTGTGTGTGTGTGTGTGTGTGTGTCTGTCTGTGTGTGTGTGTTTGTCTGTCTGTCTGTCTGTCTGTCTTAGCTTTCACTGTTGTCCTTCCCATATGTATGGGAGAAAATTTTTCTAAACAAGCATCTCCTGGTCTGGTCGAACCAAGATAAACTCCTTTCCTGTTTCACTACCAACTCTGTCTCTGTTAACTGGACTCTTCAGACAGCAGTAGCTGGACCTGGTCCAGCCCCAGCCTCTGACCCAGGACACAAGTAACAGTAGGACGTTTTTTTGTGTCACTATGGGTAGCTGATCCTTTATTCTGTAGTCAACTAGAAGCTGCCTAATGTTTGTTTAAAGCTACTTTCATTATTTTTCCCTAATTACAGAAGCACTGGGTGTGTGTGATTGAAATATCAGTTGGACTTCTCTATCACTTGAAAATCTAGTATGGCTTGAACTCCAAGTTCACCTCCTGTCAGAATCCAGGGCTTCCCCTCGTCCTCCTCGATAACGTTACAATTCTTTTCTTGTGGCTTTGCTTCCTACTACATGAGCTCAGATGAGAAGCCCCATTTCTCCAGTTTCCATTTTTAAAAATCCACCTACCAATTCATGAATTGAAAAAAAAAAAAAATTCAAGATTTGAGAGGTTTTGGAGAGACTCGTAATTTTGTCATCTCTCTGACTTTATTCCTCCCTCATCTTCCTGGAGCTAGGAATTCATCCTCATTCCTTATGCAGAACAGCTCTGCCCACCTTCAGCTCATTTAGGCTCTCATTTTCTGTGCCAAGTACTCGTTCAGGTATTTTTCCTAACAGAATTCTCTTCTCGTGACAAATTCCAAGAAAAAAAGATTCTTTCCTCGTATGTATTTTTAAAAGAACCTAGAAAATACACCCAGAAAAGTTTTAAAATTACCCATAATATAACAAAACTTTTAATGTGTGTCCTTTGCTACAGTCTTCATTGTATTATACAACTGAGCTCATTCTTTATTTTTTTGTATTCTGCTTTTATACATTTTTTTAAAATTCTACTATGAGAAATTTTCAGTGTTCCCCAAATTTGTCTGAAACCTAATTGTCAACGATTTTATAATATTTTGTCATATTGGCGAATCAATTTGCTTAGACCTTTTTTTTTGTGATCTGGGGAGTTAAACCCAAGACCTTCTGTATGCTAGGCAAGAATTATAAAAAATATTTTGATACATGAATCTTGATCTGCATTGGGATAGGTATCCCGATGAGAAATTAGTGAGTCAAAGGATAAGAACATCTTGAGGTTTAAGATGCTTATTACTAAATTGCTTCTAGAAAAGGTTCTTAAAAAAGAGTGAGTACCATGATCAGATATGTGATTTTTTTAAAAAAGATAATTCAAATTTAGGGAAAAGAGAATTTGAACTGAACAGTAGCAGCAGGTTTTGGGAGGATATAAACAGGAGTAAGGGTTAGTGATATTTCTAAGTAGAGTCAGAAGAACTTCATAAGGAAGACATGGGGGATTAGAAGTAGTGATAAACCAAAGATAATGTCTTCCCTTCTAATTTGCCTAACGAGGTAATACTGATGTTTTTAATACAAAAGAGAGGATGGTAAGATGTGCAGATGTGTAGGAGAAGATGCTTGGATACTTGGACTTGGATTACATACCAGTTGTTGAAGGTTTTAGGTGGAATCTAATAGGCATGTGGAAATATGGTTAATGGTAGAGAACATCTGCTGTTTTTTCTGCCTGACATCTGGTGCAAGCTTCAGGATTTTTTTCAGAGGAGGCTCTTTGGATGGCAATCTGGCTAGGAGTCTTGTCTTAAAGGTGCATTTATTTACCAACACCTGTTTTTTATTTTTTAATTAAACTGCAGGTATTTTTGATTTGGTAAATGAAGATGGGATAATGTAGCATTCAAATAAGTGCTGACATCTATTCCTCCGTATTCCGATGATACCACTTTAATTTTCCTTGTTTTGATCACTCCCCCTCTCTCCCTTCCCATGACTTTGGTGCATCTGTCACTACTCTGTGGCTCCGGATCCAAGGACTGTACATAACTCAAGTCACCCAATCAGAGCCAAGGGGGCTGAAGTCTGAAGTCTCCAGGGGACTCCCAACAGTTCTTTCAGGAACCACGGAGAAAAAGCTGTTTTCACGGGGATTGCTGAGGGGTAGAATGTATAACTGGAGTTGGTGGCAGCTATTTTGCTTGTCTGGCAATGGAGTTAATCCAAAACAGACATGAATGAATTCTGGTTCTAATGGCATCGCTTGAGTTCTAGGGCCTAGGCTCACTGATGCCAATTCTAAGGCTTTTCAATCTTATGAGATATTAAGATTTATTTTTATCTTAATTCATCTTTAGTGGTTTTGTCATTTACAGAGTCCTGACCAATACAGTACTGGATATCAGAAAAGGCTCATGTTATGAAAGGTCCAAGTATTCATGAATAAAATAAGAGGAATCATATTATGACAACATGACATTTTGTTATATATATGTGTATATATATATATACATATATAATTTAAATATTTAGTTTTTGGTTGTAAATGGACACAGTATCTTTATTTTATTTATTTTTATGTGGTGCTGAGGATCGAACCCAGGGCCTTCCACATGCTAGGCGAGTACTCTACAGCTGAGCCACAATCCCAGCCCCTTCTTTTATATTTAATGGCTGGTGAATATGTATGGAACATCCACTATAGTGTCAGGCACAGTGCTTGGCTTTGTACATAAAACAGACTGATCAAAGGTATGGTTATAGAGTTGTTTTATTGACATTATTAAAATATTATAATTCATAAATTTTCTGTATTACCTAACTAGAATTAATAGCATGAATTTTGGCTTTTACATCTTACATAGTTTGTCCTGTTTCTTCTTATAGACCTAAGAATACCTAGCACAGTGCCAGTACATAATAGTAGCCAGCAAATAATTTGTTATTTGCTTGAATTTTAGAAACTATTTAAAATATATGGAATATAGAACTCCATACTAGGAATTCACAGTTCAAGAAATAGATGACCAGAAGGGATAGTGTATCTTTTATTTTAAATGTCTAACAGATGTCCACTTGTAGATCTGAGGAACATTTTGGTTCTTTACCCTACATCTTTATTTTATTTTCTAAGGTTCTGGATATTGGTATCTCATCTAGCCTGATAGAGCATTCTGATATGACCTTAATAATAATAGATTATATAAAGCTGTGAGGGTAAGAACTGTTTTTTTTTTCCTTGAATATTCATTACTGGCTCATTTTCTAGCTACCTTTGTGCCTCAGCCATCTCTTTTGGTCTTCAGTTGTCATCTGAGGATGGTTTAATTAACAATGTTTTTACTTCACACTCTACCCTTGGGTCATTAAAAATTGTAATGGAAAATATGATAATAGGAAATAAATTACTTAAATCTGTTATTAATCTGAGTCTTAAATATGTATCATGGGATCTATACACATTGTGGTGAAAAATCTGAAAATATTTTAAACCCCATCCCATAAAAATTACATGTAACCAGTAATTAATGTATCATGAACTTATAGCAACAAAATATTTAATCTTTTCTAATTATACTGCTTAAATTTAAATAGCCAACATCTTTTCTCCGACATTCACTTGATCACAAGATTTAAACCATCTGACTTGCGATTATTACGACATATGACATACCCCACAAGATATCATTTAATCAAGAGGCTATGGGCGATATCCAAAACAGCAATTTTTAAAAAAAAAAAAAATCCAGGCATCTTTGCTATTTATTAGGAAATTGGACCTGACGTGTCAAATGTATGCTTAGGAAGTCCGATTTTATTCCCATTTAATCAAATAACACTACCTGGCAGCAAGAAAAACACAAGGTGCCAGAGAAAAGCAAAAAGAATGAAGTTAGCATCTTGGTGTTAAACTCCCAGGTACAGACCGCCCAGGTCGGGTAGCAGGCGCCAGGAGAGACCCGCAGGCGTTTTCTGGGCAAGGGCGCCGGGCACCAGGAACCCGGGGTCCCCGAGGGTTCGCCCAGGGCCTGACAGGCGGGTGGGAACCGGCCACTGGGGATCGGGACGCTGGCTAGCCAGGAAAGCGACCGCGCGGGACCTCCACCTTGGCTGCGGCCCAGGCAACTCCCGGCCTCTCCCGGCT